ATTATGAATATTTATTTATGTCACAATTCCCAAAGTGATAATAAAGGTATTAAACATAAACACAGGCTAGCAAAACTTTAGTTCTTACAAAAAAGAATATCTGTTCTTAAATAATCAAGTACCTAATTAACATAATATGACACATAACTATTTAAAAATATATAGAATCTTTTCTTTCTAGGCAGACACAGGAAAAACTTTACCCCTTTTAATAGACTGAAGAAGAGCCAAAAAAAACTCCCCAAACCTTCTGTTTTGCTTACTTTTGAAATTTAGATTCATTTACCTGTGGTCACATCACTTTCCTCTCCTGGAGTCTGATCTCCCTCTGCCTCCCTCTAATAGAAACCCATCATATTAGGACCCAACCAGGTTACCCTGGAGAATCTTTGGATCCCAAGATCCCCAAGTTAATCAAACATGACAACATACCTTTGTTGTGTGGAATTCACAGGTACCAAGCATAGATCAGTGTTGCATCGCACGGAAGTGAGTGGGGTGGGGGCACGCGCATCCCCGGGGTCGCCCCTCCACTGTGGCTGGGCAGCAACTGCCGCAGGGGACAGAGCGGGTCGCAGGGAGTGTGGTGCTCCCTGAACCTGAGGGATGCCATCCGGGGCTCGCGGAGGTGGGAGCAGGGCTCTGAATCCCGCAGAGCCCGTCCTGGGGTTGTCACGGACGAGGGGGATAAACCTGAGCTGTAGCAAACACTTCTCTGTTTCCTGGGAGATGGGACCTGGCACATCCCTCTAGTGGGGAGACCCGAAGTCTCTTTGTTCAAAGGCTTTTATTGAAAAGGTTCTCAGTGGGGCTTGGTAACAGGAATGCACAGATTATCTCATTACATCCGTATGTTAATGTTCACAGAGAATGGGTGATGTTTTGAAGAAAACAAATGGCAGGAACACACCAATTTACATGGGTCCGAGAGGAGACTAGTAAACAAGACATGACTAAACAAGAGAGTGTAGTAAACACAAGAGCGCCTAAGGGCATAGGGTCAGGGTCGGTAAATAATGTAAATGTCCTTCCCAGCAGGAGCTGGCTAGAGCTTTTGAGGGAAGAACAAAGCACACTTTAAAGAATTTACTTTTAGGCCTGATTTCCCTGGGAACTGCCAGATTTGGTTTAGAACTGATTCCTGTATTGTTTCAAAGCCTGAGCCAGGCGCAGGGAGAGAGCCGCCACGAGACAAGGAGACTCCTTTCAGATAGAATGAGGACTCCGGCCATGTCCAAGCTGAGCCAAGAGGTGTGGGCCTTTTTGCCCTTTCTTCATGTCCCCTAATTTCTTGTTTGCTGCCAATATTCAATCAGCATCTCTCTTAGGTTGTATACCTCAGCTTGAGGTAACTTACCCATCTTCGATAACCGATCACCCATGGCAAAGCAGAGAGGCAGGAGCTATGCCCCTGCCAGGGGGACAGGTTATGTCTCCTCAGGAGCCTGTTCCTCCAAGGCCTCCTGGTTATTTCCAGCCTTGGGGCCCTCCAGCCTGTCAGCAGGTTTACAGTTCCTGAAACCTTACAGGGCATTTCCCAACAGTTCAGGTGACCACAGCCAACCTCACCGATCATAGGAATTATGATCCCCCTTTATTTCACTAATTGTTCTATTCTGTAACCTCCTTTCAGGTTTTTCATCACTGTCTCCGCAGAGAGATCCTCCATAAATTGCCTCGCCTTGTCGTTGGAAACACAGAGCCCCCCGCGCCCCATCAGCTCCACGAATCTCTAGCTTCTCAGTGTCTCTGAGTCCCAGGGATGGAAAGTCGCCTTCGCACCACTCCATCCGCTTTGTCTCCCTGAAGGTCAGGATGCCAGAGATACTCAGGGCCAAGGTCACCATCTCCCTTTACATGAATTCTCATCTATAAGTTGCAGCCATTGGTCTCTCTCCCAGGTGTGCACTTGTCTCCAGCCCTTGGAGTGTGGGTAACACTAGATACACGCACCTGTTCATGCTCCCATTACAGCAAAGGGGTCCTACACCCTCATGGGGATGCCCTGCTCTGCCCTGGGCTGGGTTCAGAAGAGCAGGGGCGCCACTGGGGAGGGCACAGGCCCAGAAGCTGGGCTCACTGTTACCAAATGTGGACTCTTGGACATGACCCAGACCTGCTCAGAGTTCTGTGTTTAGCTATTGAAATGCTGCCTTGACCACCCCCCGCCAGATGCTCACCTGCAGCGAGGCACAGCCCCCTCTGCAGGCCTCCAACCCCAGGCCTCCCTATCGATGGAGCAGGAGGACGTGCAGGTGGGGCCCCTCTGCTCATGGAAAGCAGCCCAGCCCCGACCCTGCAGCTCTGGGACGGGGGCCCAGCCCGGGGTCCCCAGGTGATCCCAGTCCCTGCTCAGGACAGAGCACAGGCGTCTCACCAGGGAGTCTGGGCTCAGCTGGGTTTTCCTTGTTGCTGTTTTAAGAGGTAATTTATGGAGAACGAGAGACACGGAGTAAGGGAGTGGATATTACTGAGAGGATAGTGTACGTGTGACAGTTTCCTGACCAGGTGGTCCTTGTGTTTGCAGGTGTCCAGTGTGAGGTGCAGCTGGTGGAGTCTGGGGGAGGCTTCATGCAGCCTGGGCATGGGGGGGTCTCTGAGACCCTCCTGCACAGCCTCTGGATTCATGTCCAGGAGCACCTGGATCAGCTGGGTCTCCAAGTCTCCAGAAAAGGGGGCAGAGTGGGCTCGTATAATAAATACTGATGGAAGTACCACAAAATAAGCTACCCCTGTGATGAGCCAATTCACCATTTCCAGAGACAATGGCAAGAAAGCCCTGTGCCTGCAAATGAACAGCCTGAGAGCCGAGGACACAGCCCTGTGTAACTTTGTGAGAGAGACACACAGTGAGGGGAAGTCAGCGTGAGCTCAGACACAAACCTGCCTGTGGGAGACAGGGGGCTGGGCTGCAGAGGGCGCTCAGGACACCAGGGGGCACCCAGGACACACAGAGCAGGGAGAGCAGCCCCAGGGGCAGGTGTGGGTCTGGGCAGGAAGGAAGGGGCTTCCCCTGGGGAGCAGGGATTTCCTCTCAGAGCTCTCAGCTGCATCCAGGGGCACCGCTTCCTTCTTCACGGCCCCCGTTTCCCACCTTCCCCCTGCAGCCAGCAGAGGCAGAAGTGAAACTGCCTGCAGATTCCGCCCTGCGCCTGGCGGCTTTCCTTCGCCTGCTCCTGCCGGTCCTTTTCCTTCCTTGTCAGTGAACTGTGCTAGGTGCTCTCCTCTTCCCCGTGGTTGGAGACATTTCCCACAAAGAGGGGGGCATCCCCCTCTGTGCTACACTCCTCCAGTCCCCCAACATGCACACAATGTTCTCACATGTCTCCTTCCTTCTGATGTGCACACCTCATCCCACGGGGATTGCGATCGTCCCCCAGGACCTCCACCCTCAGGCGTCTGTCCTCCCTGCCTCACGCTACCCTCTTGCTCCTCACTTGCTGGCTGGATGTGGGAATGCGCCCCAACATATCCCGCTGTCACCCACTGTCCTAATTCTCCCTAAGTCGGGCCTAGGCCCTGAGCTCCCTGGGCCTGGGGCCCTGCTCACTCTTCCCCGCTCTCCCATATGACCAGTCACGGAAGGGAGGTCACGTGAACCAGCTTCGTCTCCTAACATCCCCCGGACATGTCTGTCCATCACAGACTCCCCTGGACTCCATTTGTGGGGATTTTTGTCTGTTAAATTCCACAGGATGTGCCTGTATTACATGGAGGAAATATGTAATTTTAAATGTTAATGTAAAATAAAGATTTTATTTTTACTAATTTCACACTATATTGTAAAATAGTATTTTATTAAGATTTTATTTTATTTTTTAGAAAGAGGTGAACAGAAGGAGAAGGAGAGGGAGAGAAACATCCATGTGCGAGAGGTTGCCTCTTCCATGCCCCCAACTGGAACCTGGCCTGCAACGCAGGCATGTGCCCTGACCAGGAATCGAACCGATACGGGTGACCTTTTGGTTCACAGGCCAGTGTCAGCCACATCAGCCAGAGCTAAAACATTATTTTGTTGGAAACTGTTTAGACACCGAGGGGGCCTAGCTCTGCAGCCCCGCAGGCCTGTTGCGAAGACGGTGTCTGGCAACCTCGGAGTGCCGCCGCACGTACTCTGCCCTTCCCCGAAAGCCCAGGTGAGGAGGAGGGCCATACCACGCGTGGGCTCCCTTGGAGGGCCAAAGGCATTAATGGCCACCGCTACCTCTTTTCAGACTGAATGCCACCTAAGGGTCACAGCCTCGGCACGGGGAAGTGTGCTCTCCAGGGTGACACCGGAGTCACTACCGGGGTGCCCCACCTGCAGCCCAGAATGGCTGTGAATGCATCCCAAAACAAAATCACAAGTCAACTGAAAACATCATGAATTTTTTTCGTGTGTGATGTCGTGTCGCAATGTATTTAATAGGGAGCCCAAGACAACTCTTCTTCTTCCAGTCTGGCCCAGAAATGCCAGAAGGTTGGACACCCCTGTGACTAGGCAGACAGTGAGCCATGTTCTCACCCTATCGCCCACAGACTGCCCATGGCTGGCAGGCCACATTGGTTGGGAGGAGCCCACTGTGACCCTGAACCTGACTCGTTAGAGAAGAAGTGGCTCCCCACAGACTGAGGACCACCTTAGTCCTCAGGAGCAGGACAGCAGGGACCCATAAGGAACTCTCCTTAAAGGAGCCCGCAGCAACAGTCCCTGTGATCCTGAGACTGGTGGCCAGAGGTCCAGGCCAGCTGCGGACCAGGTCTCCTTCCAGGCCAGAGGGTCGAGTCCAGGGAGGGCTCTGAAAGACTTACGAAAGCTGTAGAGACATCATCATGTGGATTTCAAGCTTTATTTTGGAAAGCTGCTGGGAAAGCGCCCATGCCTCTAGCCCCCCGCGATGTGTGGCAGGGCCCGTGCCCACATGGAGAAATGTGGACAGCGGCTCTGCAGCTGGTTGTGGTGGCTCTTTACAGATGTTTCCTCTATGTTACCTGGAGTTGCACAGGGTTCGGAAAGTTGCTTAGTTTGCATCTGTCTCTTCCTTAACTGTAGTGGTCTTGATGGTTCGCACGTTGGTGGCCACTCCAAAAAGGAGGGCAGCTAGGAAGGCGTACATGCGCCCAAAGACCACCCTCAAGTACACCACAGACAGATCACTTTGCCTCACTGACCGCATTCTTCTCGGAGGGGGTCCACTGTCCACACTCCCTCCGGCGCCTCTATGGATGCACCGGGGAGGGTCCCAGCCTACGTGGCAATGGCAGTTCCTTCTATTGTTGCAAATTCCCCTGAGGTTGCATTTGGAAGGGTGACAGTCATAGTTTATGGCAGCCACAGAACCACTGCACGTGCTGTTGACACAGAACCTTCCACCGTCACAGGGGGTACCAGGCCTCACATGACCAACATCAGTTGTCTCTGCCCCAAGGTGTAAATCCAACCCAAAACACGGGGCTCCATCTATTCGAGACTGGTGGAATCCAACATGTTCTTGCAACTGAGGCAGGCGCGTGACGTTGGCACACTGTAGGCGTCCACACTTAGCATCAGCGGCATTACAACGTCTTAGCCTGGTAGCACCACTTGTTAAACACTGTCCATATCGGTATCCCACTGTATTTAATCTGTAACAGATATCCGCACCATTCACTGCGCCTTCACCAAAGATCTCCTTGCAGTGCATACTGCGGTCAGTACAATTTCCATGATAGCAGTAGCCCTCTTCAGTACATGGGGTTCCATCTTGCAGGTAAACATTTTCAGGGCACGAGGAGCTCAGCCCGCGGCAGTACTCTGGAAGGTCACATATGTTTTGGATTGGCCTGCAGAGTGTCCCTAGGGATGAGAAGGAGCAGTTGGTGCAACACCTGCCAGTGTCACAAGCACTTCCAGGCGTAAAGAAGCAGCTACTGTCGCAACACGGGTTGCTGTAACACTGCTTGAAGGATCCACAGTCACACTCCTCTCTGTCATCCACCACAGAGTTTCCACATCGAGCAACTGTCAGGCTTCTGTTTGAAAACACAAATCCAGTCTGGTAGACGCAGTTTGATATACCATTAAAAAGTATATTTCCTAAGTGTTGTATGGAACAGTTACTGAAGGTATCTGTCATCACAGGGTACCTGTACATGATGCACGTGGCCCTTCTGTGGCAAACACAAGTTTGCTCATCATAATACAGACCAAAACTTCTCCCAACGAATTGGCTGGCTATAATTGATAACAAGAAGTAATGTCTTGACCGAACACCCACCATGACGAGATTGGTTGATAGGCATAAACCATAGAGATATGGAGTAAAAGCAAGATCATGAGGCCCATCTCTAATCGTAATTATGCCTGAATGTAGCTGAAGAGGAGTATGAATGTGGGTTACATAATGATTATGAAACGGACTCCCTGGCACTGCATAGTTGTCCATGGTGGTTGGATCCCTCACATTAAAAATGACTAGGGCGCTGATGTAGTACCTTAGATCAAGACCATGGAACATGGAGTCAACTAAACTACCTATACCTATCAGGAATGTGGCACACTTTGTCACATTGTTGTACTGAGTATATACAGAATGGGCACTCATAAGGCAGCCTTTCATATTTCCTCTGTGGGATGCATAGATCTTACTGCTGATTCGGGAGGCTGTGTTGGTATCCACTTGAGAAAGCAGGGGGTGCCTCTCTTCTTTGTGCCCCAGCATATATGTGGGTCCTATTGCGTTGGCGTCTGCGACTATCTGAGAAACCAGGTGTTCAAACCTTCGGGAATCCTCAAGGGGTTGGATTTCATAGGTAAGGTCATCCAACTTCATAATACCTTTCAGGCCCCCATAGCACGTGTCCACGGTGACTGTGGAGAAAGGAACCTCTTCCAGGTAGCCAAGGTAGTAACAGTCGAGAGGGACAAAGGGGTTATCCACCTGCAAGTTTCCCTGGTCATCCTGAGTCACCATCACCAGATGTTGGGCCCAAAACAGTTTCTTGCTCTGCATGCGAATGACGTGTCTCTGGCCCCCAAAACTCAGGCTGTAGGAGAGCCAGCCTGGTGTCTGAATGCCTTTGCCGCGGGGCTGCTCCTTCCTGGGAACCACCACCTCGGAGGAGATGTAGCGCCATGAGGGACGGCCTTGAGAACACTGGATGGCAGCCAGCACCACCCAGAGCTGGAGCAGCAAGAGAGCCGTCCTCAGCATGGCCGAAGCTTCTGCTCGCCTCATATACATGCCAGGGGACAACTGTCAGTGGGAATGGAGAAAGGAAGGATCCTCCGTGAAGCCAGGTCCCAACCATCTGCTGTGGCCACTTGCTACCAAGGAGATTGTGACAGAAAACCTGCCCTGGGTGGGGCAGCTGAGGGTACTAGGTAACAGTGACTAGGTGTGGCACTGGACATGAGGTCAGCTGTGAAGTCAGTGTGAGCGCAGGCACAGAGTCCCCTGAGGGAGACAGGAGGCCTGGGCTGCAGGGACACCAGGAGGCCTCAGTGCCACTCGGGGGCATTCCTGAGCCCAAGCAACATCATGTCACCAGGGGCATCAGTGTCACTAAATGGAGGGGCCCAGCTCGGAAGCTGGTTCCTCAAGCAGTTGCAGAAGGGCTTCCATTTGGGGTCCATGATTTCTTCCCCTCTTTTTGTGCACTGGGGCAATGCCTGCTTCCTTGTATGAGTCTTTAATTTCTTACGTTCTCCACAGATAAAAAGTAGGAAGGAACTCGGTTTGCAGATACAATGCCTTCTCCTCTGGGCCATTATTGTCCCTCTGTCCCTGTATGGTCTGCTTCTCCTGGCTGACAAACAACGCACGTTAGGAATTCTCACTGAGCCCCGACTGCGGATGATGCCCCACACTCCAGTGCAGGGCTGAGGTGGCAGCTCTGAATCCATGTGCTGAGTCACACCCTCTTCTTCACACAGCGCAGACCATCCCTCTTGAGAGTGATCAGTCCCACGCTCTTTGCCCCGTGAGGACCCTTGTGCTCTTTGGGGGCAGTGAGCCACTTGCCTCTTCCCATGTGGCTGGATCTTGATGTTCAGGATTCGACTCCTTCTGTCGCTCTCATCAGTGTCCTGGATGGAGAAGCACTGAGCCTGGGGACTGATCAGCTCTCAGTGTGTCCCCACGACAGACAGGCCAGCACAGAGGTGGAATCCTGTCCCAGGGCTGCTGGGTAGCATTCTGAGCGGGCCTCTGAACCCAGTCCTGGGGCTTGAGTCTTTTGACGTGTCTCACCTTCACGTGCAGAACCCACGTGGACCATGAGACCAGATGGACGTGGAGCCTATCCCCGCCCACCCTCTGCTGTTCATCCGGGATCCCCGGGATTGTGCCCCATCATCACCCTCTGTCTTCCACTGTCCAAACGCTCACTAATTCTGTACTGGGCGTGAAGTCCCATGTGGCTGGGGCTCTGCTCTCTCCTTTCCAGTTCTGGTACATTTTGCCTTAAATACAACCCCAGTCATTCCTTCATGTCCACCTCCCATGTCAGCCCCTCCATGAGAACCCAGGACCAGTTGTACTCATGTGACCTGAAGCTGGCCTCGGCCACCCTTCTGGGCCCATGTGGGGTGCACACATGCGATTCCGGGTCACTCAGAGTCTCCTGCAGGGCAGGCCTGTGTCAGCTGGCGACTGAACTCAGAGCACCTGCAGCTACTCACACATGTGCTGAGAGAACCTCCAGCGGCCTCATGAGCTGAAGAGCATCGTGGTGGACAAGCCCATGAGCAGATGGGGTCAGACGGCCATCAGAGAAGGGCCGGGTGGCCTGGTCACCTGCAATGTTATCAGTGTCCCCGGTGATCAGAGCCCAGACATACAGGGAGATTGCTGTTAATTCTAAAATTGCAGGAACAGGCTCGAGGCAGGAAAAAGAGGGATCTGCAGCTTAAAAACCGACTAGAGAGCCCTGGCTGGTGTGGCTTAGTGGGCTGAGCGTAGGCCTGTGAATCAAAAGGTCACCGGTTTGGCTCCAGGTCAGGGCACACACCTGGGCTGCAGGCCAGGTCACTGGCTGGGGGTGTGTGAGTCAACTGGTTGATGTTTCTCTCCCACGTAGATGTTTCTCTTCCTCTCTTTCTCCCTTCCTCTCTCTCTAAAAATAAATTAATAAAATTTAATAAAAACTGAATGGGATAAATGTCATAAAGAGCAAAAAGAAATGACCTAAGTGTCCTACCTTAGAATTGGGACAAAAGACAAAGAATGTCTATGAAATGAGTATAAATCTCACCAAACACATTTAAAATGATTTTATGCCTTTTCTTTCTACTACTCTCTAGAAGTATCAGTGATATTTATTGCACATTCACAGAATCTACCATATACAAAAAAACTGTGTATCTCAAACCCACCAGATGTGCTCATTCTAGTGTTTGATCTACACAGTCAACTCTGACCACCCTGCCAATGGTGACTTCAGTGAGTTAAAGTGGTTCTCAGCTCGTTTCCATCTCTGTAACCCAAGTCCACAGGCCCTGCCACTGGCCTGGCCTGGGGAGCAGAGGGGAGGCTTGCAGGGGAGCATCCCCGGGACACTGCTGGTCCCGCTTCGCAGGTGAGAACAGCCAGGCTCCGCAGGGCCAGGGAGCTGTCCGGAGGTCGTGTGGGGATGAGCACTGTGGGCCCACGTGGGGCCACAGCTCCTGAGCCCTCGTCGGCCTGTCACCTCCCTGGCCCTGACTGGCCCCGTCCCGTCCTGCCCTGTCCTCACCCTGCCCAGGGCCTGGCCACACTCCATCTCCATCCGAGCCTCTGGCTCCGTCTCTCCCTCGGACACTCTCCTCGTCCCTTCTCTTGACCTTCATGCCTCTCCCTGCCTCTCCCTGTCTCTCTGCCTCTGTATTCCTCTTTGTCTCTGTCCCCGTCTCTTTTTGTCTATCTTTTTCTCCCTGCCTCGGCCTCTCCGTGTCTGTCTGTCTCTGTCTCTACCTCTATCTTCCTCCCTCTGTCTCTATCTCCATCTCTCTCTGTTTATGTGTCTCCTTCTCTCTCTTCCCTTCCCTCCACCTCTCTCTGTCTCTCTGTGTCTCTTTGTCGGCCTCTCTTCCTCTCTGTGCCTCCCTGTCTCCCTCTGTCTCTCTTCATCTGTCTCCCTGCCTTTTCCTCTGTCCACCTCTCTTTCTCTCCCTCTGTCTCTGTCTCTCCCTCTGTCTCTGTCTTTCTGTCTGTCTCTCTGTGACTCTCCCTGTCTCTCCTACCTTTCTCCATCTGTCTTTCTCCACTGTGTTTTCCCTTGTCTCAAACTGGTGAATCTAGAAAAAACCAGGCTCTTCTGCTCTTTCCAGAGTGACCTGTGCTCCACAATCACCAGATGGTGACAAAGGGACTGCTCCTTCCAGAAGGTTCCCGGCTGACACGTGAGGAACGAGTGAAAGGAATGGGGCCCATCCTGGCCCTCCAGGACATGAAGGCCGAGGCCAGCGGGCCTGATGTTGTGACACCCGGGAGCCTCCCGAGCTGGCTGGTCCAGCCACATGCGGGTACCTCTCAGAGCCCCCACACGGGCAAGCCTGGGGGCCAGTACTGGGCAGCGATGGCCAGTGGCCGCCCACACCCACCTGCAGCTCCATGATCTCCACAGAGAGAGCCGGGGTGCAGCCCACGGCACTGAGGGCCCGAGGAGCGGGGCTGCCCCAGGGCCCACCACCCACCGCCAGGACTGCAGGGAGGGCAGGGGAGCAGGGCGAGCCCCCCAGGGGAACCGCCAAGGACAAAGGGCACCGTGCAGGGGGCACGGGGGCCAGGTCCCGAGGCTGAGGTGGTGGGGGAACTCGAGTAGGTCTCTGTGACACGAAGGGCTGTGAGCCGTCACTTGGAGTGACAAGGACGGCATGCTGTCTGCAGGTCCTCCTGGCCTCCGGAGACACACACGGAGGGCTGCAGGCGAGGCCTGGGGCGCCTGAAATGGCTGGGGCGGGTGGACACGCTGGGCACACCCCACCGAGGCCCCTCACCCACGGGCCCTCCCAGCAAGTGTTTTCAGGTGCGCCTTCCGGTGTGCCAGGCCAACGTGGAGGCCCAGCGGGACACAGGCACAGGAGCGGGGAGGCAGACAGAGAGTCAGACACCCCCCCACGCCACCCCAGGCACTGGGCTCAGTCAGAGCAAAGCCAATGTTCCCCCCACTTCGAGGTACTCACCTGGCCCTGCCGCCCTTCCTTCCTCACTGCCCCTCCCCCACCCAGCCTGCCCTCCCCAGCTGCTCACCGACCCCGCGGGAAGCGCCTTGGCCAGACCCCCGACGAGCCCCCCATGGATGCCCATCCCCACACAAGGCCCCGCCAGGGCCCTCCTGCCACTCTGGAGACCTGGTCACGACCGTCACTGCCAGGCTCTGCTGCTTGTCCTGCTCTTGTCCCCTGGGCCCTGTCCCCACGGCAGCAGGCTTGAGCTCCTGGTTGCCAGTCCCTTGCAGGAGAGTCTGCACCAGCCCCAGGCCGGAGCCCCCAGGGACCTTGCCCCAGGGTCTCCGGCCTCTCCGGGTGCAGGGCTCCACACCCCCAGCCCCATGGCTGGCCCCGGGTGGAGCTGGGTTTGTCCTGAAACCTGGACACCACCTCGGCCAGCACAGCAACAGGGCAGAGGGCAGTGGGCGTCTCAGCAATCCCCGGGGCCAGGCCCGGAGCTGCGGGGGGACCCCCACCTGCTCAGCTCCCACCTGCTTTGCCCCCTCCCCACACACAGGCCCCGGGCTCTGACTCAGAGCTCGCTGGGCCGCTCCCAGCTGCCCCTGCCCCCTGCCCCTGTGCTCCCAAGCAGAGGACCCACGCCCGCCTCACAGATGGGACCCCAAGGCAGGCCAGGGGCACATGGCCAGTGAGCCACGGGGCTGGTGGGCCCCGATGCCTGGTACACTCTTACCCGCTAAGTAGCAGCCCAGCCTGGTGAACCTCAGTGGGTGTCCGTCAGCCCAAAGTGCCAAAGCGGGGAGTGTTCATGAGCGGGAGTATGTGTTTGTGGGAGCTGTAAGTGTGAGAGTGTGATTGTGTGAGAGTGTGTGTAGCTGTGAGAGTTTGAGGGACTGTGATTATGGGAGGGCATGGTGTGATTATGAGGATGCGACTCAGAGTGAGTGTCGACTGTGTGGGTGAGCCTGGGGCTGGAAGTCTGAGGGCTCTGCCCAGAGCACGCGGGCAACTTTATCCCCACTAACAACCCTGCACAGGACCCAGCCATCCAACGTGCACCCACGTGCCCATGCACACATAACACATGCTGTGCACTGCATGAACACGAACACACGTAACACATGAATATATGCAGGCAGGCATGAACTCACACTTAGACATGTGTGCACATGTATGTGCGTGCACATACAGGCATGTGTGCAGGTACACTTGCTTGAGTGTGCAAGACCCATGTGCACACATGCATGCACACCTAAGCCTTAGGGGGGGGCTGCAAACCACACCTGCCCCAGGGACACCCTCCCACCATTGTCCACCGTGTGCTCAGCCACGAATGTGCGCTGGTGCCAGCTGTGTTGTGGGCACAGGCTGCACCCTCCCATCACCCTGTCTCTGCCCAGGGCTGGGGGGTCACCAGGAGCAGAGAACCAGGAGGGTCTGGAGTATGGATGGTGGTCTTGGCCTGGGAGGTGATAACAACCAGTCCTGGAAGGAACAAATGAGCTATCTGGGTCTCCTAGGAGCCCCACTGTGCACCTGCACACACATACTACACACACCTGGGCACCCACCTACACACCACACACCCACACATTGCACATACCTGTACACACATCTATACACTCCTACACACACTACACACCTACACACCGCACACTACATGCAACTTTGCAACCTTATGTAACACACTACACACACCTACACACACTTCTACACACCTACACACCACACCTACACACTACACACAACTGTGCATCTGTATACACATCTGTACACACTGCTACACACTACACACCTGTACACACATCTGTACATTCATATACAGTATTTTGCCATGTCGAATGCACTTTTTCACTCAAATTTTTTAGGGAAAAAGAAGGATGCCCATTATACATGGGTAGTACTGATTCCGTATCTATATAAATGTTTTTAATTCTTTTATTTAGGCTTATACATTAAAAGTGTAACTCTAGAAAGCAATAATGATATCAGTATGCAAAATAATACCCTGGAATGCGATAATCATTTTTGTTTCTAAAAATGAATAAATAATTGAATTAAAAATTAAAACGAAAAGTTTTTCTTTCCTAAAAGTTTGGGCCAAAAACAAGAATGTGCCATATACATGGGAGCACATTATACACAGCAAAATATCATACACACTTACACACACTACACATCTACACATGTTATGCACACTACATAAACTTGTACACTCATGTGCACACTCACATACACATCACACACACAGCATATACCTGTATACATGTGTACACTCCTATACACACTACACACATCTACACACTACACACATCATACACTACATGCACCTGTACACATGCCTACACATGTCATGCACTTAACACATGTGTGCGCATACCCACATGCTACACATATCTTGCACACATTGTACACACCTACACACCTCACACAGTGCTCTCACTGTGCACACATCTGTACACACACCACACTCTCACTTGTGTGCACACAGGTACACACACATTGACCATGCTCACGCCACAGGCCTTCTGCACACTGCCATGCTCTCTCATGTGCTCACACTCATGTGCACACGGGGTAGCGCCCTCTGAGCTCCCTGCCTGCAGCCAGAGGAGGCCGGCCCAGTGCTCAGAGCGGAGGGCACTTGTGAGGCCGCAATGACAGGTCTGTGTGGCCCTTGGGAGCATTGAGAGGGAGCTCTTATCATCTGGGAAGCCAGTGCTGGGGCCACAGCACATGTGCACATGCGTGATTGTGTGTTGTTAGTGCACATACATGAGTGTGACTGTGGAGCAAATCCCTGCTCATCACTGAGCCTGCTTTCCATCTGTCCCCTCAGCCTGGGGACTGTGCTTCTGGAAGGTTCTGTCTGGCAGGCCCTGGGCCACAATCAGGATGGGTGCCTCAGCTGCCCCGGGCCTCCCCACAGGGACATGACCCTTAGTGGGGGTTGCACAGCCAGGGGTCCCCAGGACCCTCACTGCCCCGCAGGGGAAGCTGGGTGTGCAGCTTCCCTCCCCCACAGCCGAGGCTGAGAAACAAGGTCCACGGGCCGGTTCATTCCCACCCCCACCCTACACACAGGCACAAACACACGCTTGCAAATATTTCTAAAAACACCAAGGACGGGAGCCGCAGAGCAGGGAGGGGGCCAGGGTGGAAAGCCCCGTTCACCCCTGAGGCCAGCAGCTGGCCCGGAGCCCGTGAGCATTTGCATTGGCGGGGAGCTGAGGCCGGCTGTTGGGGAGGGTCCCCAACCATCCTCCCCCTGCCGTGCCCCCCAGGCGGCCAGGCCTGCGCTCTGGCCAGGCCCACTGCCTGCGGGGCCTCCCGAGTGGGGGGAGGAGGCACCGCTGCCACGGGCAGGTCTCCCAGCACCCTGGGCCCGGGCAGGGGACTCTGCAGGGCACCGGGGGACGAAGCCGCGCCCGGAGCAGGAGCTGCCTGCCCCTCGGCGCCCCTGCACACCTCCGGGCTGCAGCCCTCAGGGGGCTCCCGTCCCCCTCCCCCCAGACTCCAAATGGCCACCCTGGGGCAGCCCTGCCCCTTGTCCCGAGTGGGCTGTGGAGGCCCCTGCGAGAGCCCACCCTGCACCCTGAGACCCTGGAGGACCAGCAAGGGTGTGGTGGCCATGAGACAGGCCGCCCTGGGGGTGTCCCCATCTGGGGACGCGGTGCAGGGGCGTCCTGGCCAGGCAGGCCGCCCCCACCCGCCTCCTGGAAGCAGGGTCACCTCTCCAGCCAGGCCCCAGCCCTCGAGGGGCGGCTCTTGAATTTGACGGAGGTGTTTCTGGAGGACCCCCAGGGTGTGGTCTGGGTGCCAGGGGTCAGTGGGGTGGCCCCTCTTTACACACACGTCTCCCATGCATGGCCATGCAGACCCACAGGCACCGGGTGACACGAAAGGACACATACAAAGACAATCACATGAAGACAGAGAGACAGGCCCACACAGAGACAGAGACACACAGAGGCAGAGGCACAATCACACTGGGGCACAGAGACAGGGAGGCCGAGACACAGCAAGACACACAAACACAGACACACAGACACACACACACACACACACACACACACAACTGTGAGTGCACCCAGGTGTCAGACCCACTGCTGGGCAAATGCAGACACACAGCATTGACACACAGCATTGACACACAGATGTACCCACAGACCCAGTGGGCTCAAGCACGCATATGGGCACATGTGCCCTCTTGGGTAAGCATGTGTTTATACTGACAGACAGATACACAGACACTCCCAGTCACACACAATCTCAGAGGCTCATGCTCAACAGAGCCATATGGACACTGCACGCACACACACACACTCAGGGACACATCACATCCAGGCATTCACATGGAGCTGAAAGCACACACTCCACCACAGTCATGAGTTTCACTGGCTCACGCAGGACACATGGGCTCACATGGCTCACATGGGTTCACATGGTATACATAGGCTCACATGGAACACATGGGTTCACACAGGCTTATAGAACACACACGAGCTCACATGGCACACAGACTCACAAC